GAAACCCACTGCTACATAGTAATCAAGCATAGTAGCTGAAGCAAGAGAGTCGAGCCCCATCATACCATAAGCTCTTCAGATATATCTTGGGTATTGTGTAATTGATGGGACATATTAACAAAACAGAGAAATTCTAGAAGTGGGTAAACAGGCTCATAAGTGGCCTGAAAACTATGAAAATGAGGAACAGTTAAAAGAATAGAAGTGCCACTCTGGCATTGTCCTGATATGTATGCCAGTGTTGCTGGTTCCATCCTTGCTGAGGGCACATACAAGAAGTAAACAAAGAATGCATAAACAAGTGGAACAATGAATCGATGTTTCACTCTCTCTCCCCCTAAAAATCAACATATAAAAAAAATCGAGTCCATAATCCATGCATGTGCCCTGACTGGGAATCAAACCATGACCTCAAGGTTCATAGTTTGATGCTCAACAACTGAGCCATACCGGCCGGGCAATATATAAATTAAAAAAAAAAAAAAAAGGAATGTCTAGTTGGGGAAGCAAGTAGAGAAGGTGGGGAGAATAAGAGGTGTTAGCTAAAGGTGTACGGATTCAAATTCAATCTAGTTTGGATTGTTAGTGCTTATACATCTTCCTCATTTAACAAAACAGGAAACTGAAGCCCAGAGTTTAATGAAGTGCCTGAAGTCAGTCAGCTAACAGAGTTAGGACGTAATAAACTCAGGTTCTTTAACCTTCTGCTAGAAGGTTAAGCTTTTTAAAATCATTCTTATCTGTATAGCGTATTTTTTCTTTTAAAAAATACCTAATTGTATTAGCAAATGCATTTTTAGTATGTTGTAGATACCAACTAGTCATGAGCTCATCACTGGAAATGTTTGGGGAGACAACTCTCATCAGAGATAGAAAGCTTTGTATTTGGTTGGATTTTAGGCTTGAAAACCTCTTTTGTCACTTCCTATACTAAAATTGAAAATTTTATAAAATGTCATTATTTAGATTAAGATATAACTACTTTATAATCATGCAGTGTAGTTTTATCTCTTGAGTCAAAAATTGTCTGGGTTCAAATTCCTGCTATGCTACTTAGCAACTGGAAGGCCTTGGGCACATTATTTGACCTCCCTTGGCCTCAGTATCCTCATTTGTAACGTAGAGTTAATACTTAACTCATAAAGCTATGATGAGGAATAAATAAAATTATATACAGCAACAGAGCTAGCAAGTAGAGCTCAAATATTAGCTCTAGTCTAGCTGTTTGTGTGGGAGTGGGAGAAACTGCTAAAGGAGAGGGTAAGAAGAGATCTAAGGGCAGAACCATGGAGAAGACTAACATTTCATTGGTGTGCTGGTTTGAATAGTATCCCCCCAAAATTCTTGTCTGTTGGGAACCTTAAAATGTGACCTTATTTGGAAATAGGGTCTTTGCAGATATAATCAAATTGAGATGACATTATACTGAGTTAGGATTAGGGCCATAATCTAATGACTGGTATTCTTATAAGAAGGAAATTTGGACACAAAGATACACAGAAGGAAAATAATGTGAAAATGTGAGTAAGAGAACACCATCTGATGGCACAGAGATACAGGAAAGAAGGCCAGGTGATGACGATGACAGAGACTGGAGTAATGCACCTACAAGCTAAGGAACAACACGGATTGTTGCCAACCACCAGAAGCTGGGAAGAGGCATGGAAGGGTCCTCCCTTAGAGCCTCCAGAGAGAGCATGACCTTGCCAACAACTTAATCTAGGACTTCTGGCTTCCAGAACTGTAAGAAAATAAATTGGATTTAATCCACCCAGTTTTGGGTATTTTGTGGTGGCATCCCTAGAAAACAAATACAGGTGGTGAGCAGACAGGATGGGTAATAACAATTTAATAACACTTTGTCGTTTCAGAATCTTTACACAAATATAATGTCAATTGGTCCTCACAAAGACCTGAAATAGCAGGACAGTTTACAGATATGAAAATGGATGATCATAAATTATTAGAGACTTGATAGAAGGTGGCAGAAACAGAATTTGAACCTGTTCAAACACTCTGACTTATTAAGTGAACTGCTTCATCCTTTCTCACTCTTTTTGAAGTTTCCTTTCCCATAACAACTCCAGCTTCATCCTCTTATCTCAGGCACCCTGTTTCAGTTAAGGTCACTGATCAGTGAATTCTACTGACTTTATATTGTCCACATCTGTGCATTGTACAATCTTTTATTTTTTGCCACATTAGAATTTTAATAGAGAAAATTAGGAGTACATAAACATTACATATGAAACACAAATTGACATAGCCTAAATGAAAATGCCTGAGGGAACAAAGTACAAATTCAAGCTTAGAAATTTAGGTACTGGTACTTGATGAAATCACATTATTTCCCAGCAATTCCGTTTCCTCATTTGTGGTTTAGAGTGATAATCAAGTGAGTCAATAAATGGATATATGTATATAAACATACATAAATAATATATAAAAATTCTATATACTGCCCAGTGCTATTAAAAATACAGATGTTCTCTTCTTAATTTCTTTCAATCACGTTTCTTTCTCTTGAGCTTTCACTTGTATTTTTGCTTATACATTCCTCGTTTGAATTTCTTTCTCTTTTTTAAAAACCATTGATTTACCTGTTTTTCTGTCATGTTAAATTCAAATGCAAGCGATTCACGATGTCCTTTTGTGGGGCATTTGTTTAACTTAAACGTTGCCCAGAGAGTGTCCATGAGGGGCTTGCTGACTAATCTTTTCTCTGGATATTCTTCCTCACATTCCATTTTTTCTTCTTTTTTCTCTTCCTCCTGTGTTGGGGTCCAGCCCCAGCAGGTCCAGGGGTTCCCAAAGGTGTGGACGAAGTTGGCGAAGAAGGAATGACATGGAGACAGCGTTCAGTTGATCAGCAGCCTAGCCAGGTTCTCCAGCCAAGTTCTGTCGCCAACATCTCCTGCCAGGTTCTTTCTTTTCTTGTCTTGTTACATCTGTATTTATACCAGTTGATTTTAGTCCTATTAATTTCTATTACAA